TAAAAAAAAACAAAACAATACACACAGCCCTAGCTGGTTTGGCTCAGTGGATAGAGAATTGGCCCCTGGACTGAAGGGTCTTGGGTTTGATTCTGGTCAAGGGCATATACTTCGGTTGCAGGCTCGATTCCCAGCCCAGGTCAGAGCGTGTTTGGGAGGCAACCGATCAATGTGTCTCTCTCATATCATGTTTCTCTCTCTTTGTCTCCCCCCACCCCACTCTCTTTAAAAATCAATGGAAAAATATGCTCGTGTGAGGATTAAAAATACATAAATACATACACACACACATACACACACACATATGCACACTCATCCCTAATAAAGCTCAGAGAAAAGCTTTTTGCAAAACACATTTTTAATTTTTCTTTATTGATTTCAGAGAAGAAGAGAGGGAAAGATAGAAACATCAATGATGAAATGATGAGAGAAAATCATTGATCAGCTGCCACCTGCATGCCCATACTGAGGATCGAATCTGTAACACTGGCATGTGCCCTTGACGGGAATCAAACCTGGGACCTTTCAGACCAAAGGCTGACTCTTTATCCACTGAGCCAAACTGGCTAGGGCAAAACACATTTTTTTAAAGTCAAAATATAATATAGAACATTAAAGCAAATACACATTTCCAAACAGAATGGTCATTAGATATAATCAGAGAGAGATCTAGAGAGAGAGAGAGAAACTTTGTGGGACCAGAAATCCTGGGGTTCATACTGTTAGAGCCATGCGAGCTACTTCTCCCTCAGTCTGTAGCATTTCTATGGTAGACAAACATGGGCATCATATAAAGGCTGAGGGATAATCAATCTTGAGGCAGTAATGGGATAATTCTTAAACAGAACGAAAATGAGGTACTAAGGTAAAGATTTAGCCTTTCTTTGGATTTCTTCTACTGGTTTTAAATATGGTTTTCTGGTGAAGTAAGTGCAGGACTTGTAATATGGGAATGGGCTGTGCTCATTTAGAAATACTTGATTTATAATACCACACTCCAACAACAGTATTAATAATAAAAATTATTATGGCTCAGTGGTTGAACGTTAACCTATGAACCAGGAGGTCACAGTTCCATTTCAGGTCAGCGCACATGCCTGGATTGCAGGCTTGATCCCCAGTGTGGGGCCTGCAGGAGGCAGCCAGATGATTTGATGATTCTCTCTCATCATTGATGTTTCTATCTCTCTCTCCCTCTCCCTTCCTCTCTGAAATCAATAAAACTATATTAAAAAAATAATAAAAATAAGCCAAATGATAAAAATGGCCCTCACTGGGATTTCAACTAAAGCAGTCACAGGGAGACTGCTTTGCTTTGTCTTAAAAAAAACAGGGTCCCCTTAGTTTTGAAACAAACAAAGAGACGAAGATATGGAAAATGAGATACAGATGACCTGCCTCTGAGAGCTGACGGATGGTTAAGATCCAGGCTCCCTTCAGTCAGAACACATTTTCCCCCAAATGTCCGCTTTCTTAACTTAGTTTTTAATCTTATTTTTAAACACTTTTAATGCACACAGATAGAAAAAAATATATCTCATTTACATGTTTATTTTTTAAACATATGTAGATGTTATTATCCATAATATCTATAAGTACTTACCTTTGTTTCAATATATATTTTTTCAATCAATGGAAATGAAAAGATCTATTATTATATAAAGTGGCCCATACAATTTTTTGATACTAAAAGGTGATTTTCATATTTGAAATTGCTTTTCAGATCTGCGTTAACATTTTGCTATATGTCTGCCTTTCCCATGAAATATGACATTTTGGTTCTGGGCACATTCACAATATTTGAGCCATTGAAGAGCATGTATGTGACATATGTGAGTTATAGCATATGACAGGATAATAAATACCTGTGAAATCATCACCCATGGGCTAGAACATTTTCAGTGAAGTACATCCATCTACATGCTCCTTCCTCAGGCCCCACCTGTCATTCAACTTCAACTGGTGTTTATCTCAGTGGCACTGAGGAAGGGGGATCTTAGGGCTGCTGGTTTGGAGCTCACAAAATTTCTGGGAAGCTGGGGAGAGGATGCTTGGAGGGAGGTGATGTGAAGCATAAGGCAGGTTGTTCAGACTCACCCCTGTCACCTCTGTACCTGTACTGCTTGGCCCAGCTCCCAAGGACTGAGCTCAAGTCAGTACAACTAGTGCTATACCTCATGTTCTGAAGCAAACTGGGTCTGGCAGTAAGGCTGAGTGCTTCGTCACCATTTACAACATTGTTTCTGTGGGAAAATACATTTCCAATAATAAATAAATAAATTCTGAAGACCACCTCTCAGTGAGTTGGCGGTAACTGGCATTTCGTGGGGCAGTGATAAGAACTCAGTTACAATGGACCATCTGCTCTCATGGTCAACTCTTTTCTGACCACTAATCTTACAGTTTTAGCTCAAAAGAAGAGGAAGAGGGAGGCAGGAGAAGGAAGGAAGAAAAAAGAATGGAGATGGAAGTAGAGAAGGGGGGGAGGGGAGAAGGGAGAAAGTGAAGGGAGGAAGGAGAAGATACTAGGAAGATGGATATTTATCAGGAAGCTGAAAAAGTAGATAGATGAGGATTTCTTTTTCGTTAACTAAATGTCTCTTCCCTTTTCTAGAATCAGAAAATAGATTTTTTTATAAAAGCAAAATGGCAAGAGTTAAAAATCAGTTCTCATTAGTAGTGAAAAGCAATCTAGATGGATGAGAGGCCGTGTATATGTAACATGGAAAAATTCATATTTTACTCCCAGTTCCCTAATAGACCAAGACCAAAACTTTTCATGTGTACATTATACAAAGTGCTTACAACATCCAGTTATATAAAATATTAAAATACCATTTCATCCCCTTTGAAAGAACACATCTCAAATAATTTTACTTTTTTTCATAACTAAATGCTACACAGAATCTTTAGACCATTTTAGTTTAAAAGAAGTAGTTGGCCCTGGCCGTTGTGGCTCAATTGGTGGGAGCACCATCCCATGCACGGGTCACTCTCCAGTTTGATTTCTGGTCAGGGCACACAGTCAGGTTGCGGATTCGATCCCCATTTGGGGTTTAAATGGGAGGCAACCAACCAATGTTTCTCTTTCATCTCTCTCTCTCTCTCTCTCTCTCTCTCCCCCTCCCTCTCTTTCAAAAAAAAATCTTTAAAAGATAAAATAAAATAAAACAAGTAAGTAGTCATGCTCTGAGGAACAAAAACTCTTGCCATAATAAGAGAGATGAAATGTGTGGTGCAGCAGGAAGTGCCATGTCCCAGTCTTCACACATCACAGTGGGAAGGCTCCTGCTCCCCCAAAGTCAGGCTCAAGCTGACAAGTTCACCTAGTAGGGCTCTCCTGATGTCCAGAAAGTCAGTACATTCATCCACTTTCAATAGGCTCAAAACTGAAGCCCTAAATTTATGGTAAAACTGGTAAGAGCTTGAACATTCCATTATTTTCTTTCTCAAAATGGTCAAGTACATAAGGAAGGAGAAACACCAACAATGATTATCTGCAGCTTGACTTCATCCCACCATGATCCCTGACAAAGGGCCCATAGCACCTAGCAGCACTGTAATACCCCTGCTGCGGTCATGATAGTGGTTGCTCAGAAAGTCTTGTGGGGAATGAAGTGTGGGCACAGGTGTGAGACACAGGTGTGGACAGCAATGTGTGCTGTCTGAACAGATGGGATTGATCACCCAGGAAGGGCTGCACATTAATTTCAGGACACTAATAAGGGAACACAACTCCAAATAAATATTCTGGAAAATTATTTCTTAGGAAATGTCATCTGAGTCTTGAATGGGAAAAGGGGAATACTAGTACTTTAACTAAAGGTAGGAGCTATTTCAGGCTCTTGTCATGTGTATTTTTTTTAACCATTACTTGGAAAATTATAAAGCATCAACATTAAAAAAAGTATCAGGATTTTATCCACATAAACTCTTGGCCCTTATTTTTTGGTGAGAAGAAAGGGGCCAATATGAAGTACCTAATCAACTTAGTTCACCATATGCTTAGTATTCCCACTCCTCCTATATTGATTTGCAGTTATTTTATAATTGTGAATTATATGTTATCTTCTTCAATATCCTGCCTTTTCTAAGTAAAATGTTATATAAATTGAAAAATTCACTGCTGTATCTGGATTTGTGAATAATTTCAAAAACAGCCCAAGTGCCATCAGCAGATGAGTGGATAAAAAAGCAGTGGTACATTTACATAGTGGAATACTATGTGGCTATAAAAAATAAAGAACTCTTACCATTTGCAATAGCATGGATGGACCTGGAGAGTATTATGCTAAGTGAAATAAGCCAGTCAGAGAAAGACAAGTATCACATAATCTCACTTATATGTGTAAACTAATAAGGAAAATAAACTGTTGAACGAAATACATCCAGAGACTTAGAAGCATGAAATAAGATTGATGAATTTCAGAGGGAGGGCAGGGGTGAGGCGATGGATGGGAAGGGAGTGATTAACGGGGGAGACTGACATGGATATATACATAGCACAGAGACATAGACAATAGAGTGGTGAAGGCCGGGGAGGGGCAGATGCTGTGTACAGGGGGTCAATGGAGGGCAAAAACAAACAAACAAACAAATGGGACACCTTTAATGCTTTTAACAATAAAGATAAATTAAAAAACAAAACAAAAACCTTAAAAAAATGTGTTCTGTATTTTCTGTTCTCTGTAAACAAATGATCATCAAACCTAGAGAATAGTCAAGAAGCAACTCAGCGGAGAAACCAAGATGGCGGCATAGGTAAACACCTGAAATTGCTGCCTTGAATAACCACTTCAAAACTACAACTAAAAGACAAAGGGGTGGGAAAACACCCCACCTCTTGCGGTAAACACCTGAAATTGCTGCCTTGAATAACCACTTCAAAACTACAACTAAAAGACAAAATGGACATCATCTAGAACCACAGGAAGCTGGCTGAGTGGAAATTCTACAACTAGAAGAAAAGAGAAAAGCACACTGAGACTCAGAGGAGGTGAGGAAGTAAAGTGCAGAGGTACGGAGGTGAGCGGAAAGAGCTGGCAACTGAGGACTCAGCTGGCTTTTTCAATCAGGAGGGAGACACAAGCTTCTGACTGCTCTGAACTCCAGTTCTGGGCGAGTCTCTGGGGACCCAGACTCATACAGGGAGAAACTGGACTGTATAGCATCAGGCGGAATTCGAGGGTGGCTTTCTCTCAGAAGTGCTTGCAGCAATTACCAAGGGACACTGAGACCCAGGCCTTTTAGTGAAGGGCTGAGGATCAGCTATAGCTGTTTGCCCCACCCAAGCTGTGCGCAGAGACTTTTGCATATGAATGGCCTGGCCCTTTGCAATCTAAAATTACCTAACAAACTGCAGCTGGATCAGAGAGACCCAGAACATTCAAAAGAAGGCCCAAGGCCCCACAGCAGCTTGCACTGCTTCACAGCTGGGCCTCATCTGGGTACCTCCAAATCCCAAACAAAGAAGAGGAATCTGCAGATCTCTCCATAGCTACTGCTGGGTAGCCTCAGGCAGAGGCTAAATTAGCACCTCCTTAGAGATCCAAGTGCCAGTGTACCCAGTGGTCAGAGTGGGACCATCCAGATTACAACTTCTCAGATCCATAAGGGTCACACTCAGGGGGCAGACTCAGTGAGCACCAAAGCCCCACTGAAGCAAGTCTTGCCCCAGA